TTTAAGGAAAGAACCTTCCAGAAATGAAACCACATGATCTCTGTTATACCCTCTCAATTTGTAATTATCTACAGTTTCCATAGCTGGTTGTTTGAGGCAGATGATTGTGTTCGGTAGCCAGTGCAACATTTAATATTTTTGTGTGGTCATAATCCACAACTGTAAACTAGATGTCTTCATAATTCCACTGCCTTTCTCTTAGTTACTTATTTCCTATCTTAATATGTGTCCTATGTTGTTCCACTTGCTGATAACATTAAATTTCGCATATTTAGCCAAGGTGAAACAAGAAGTACTTTCTACATTAGCATCAGTAATGAATACTGCTGTTAGTAAGCTTCTTGCCTCTACTACATACAAACTCATTGTACTGGACAACAAAATAAGTGTTCCAGGAAGGCCTAAAATAAAGTACCTAAAATAAAGATGTCAGAACTCTTAGATGTTATTTGTGTATTTCTCAACAAATAAAAAAAAATTTGTGCAGAGAAAGTCCTCTAGGATGAAATTTTATGAAAAATATTTTTTCAAAAATAGTTGTCATCAGGAAGTAAACTGTTCAGTCTTTGCTAGCAGCGATGCTGAACTTGAAGATCAGTTTTTCTGCAAAAACTGCTTGGGAGCATTGAATCTTCATAGCTTGAATGAATGACTTGGACTTAAAATATGCCTTGTGTATATTGCAGTTCATTCTGTTGCTTTTTTATATAGGTTTTTCTGTGTTTAATAAAATAGAAGTTTCTAACTGAAAATTAGGACCCAAGTTGCTCAGATTGTAGCCATTTATAGGCTTTGTCAGCTCGTAAGCATTCAGTTTCAACGAGTTGATTTATACTGAGTTGAAAGAACTGTGCAGCAGGGATGTGGCTTATATATCAATTATATTTAAACTGTAGTATCCTATTTATATGGGAAAATAATGCTTTGAATGCCGTTAGTAGAGATAAGATTTTGTGTAGAAGTACACATCTGATGTCACCTGAAAACTAATTTTTCTTCTCCTTAGTGGAGAGCTGAAGAGGACTTGATGAGTACAAAGGTTGTTACAGAACATGGGGGATTTTGGTAGTCTGAATTGAATATAACCATCCCTGAAGGTATTTAAAAGATTTGTAGATATGGTGCTTGGGGACATGCTTCAATGCAACTTGGCAGTGCAGGATTAGTGGTTGGACTCGATCTTAAAGGTCTTCTCTAACCAAAATGTTTCTATGATTCAGGGTTATGGTTCTGATTTTTTGATTATATTTTTTTAACTATATATTTAAGACTGTAACTTGATTAGTAAATGAACTAATACTAACACTGTGTTTTAGCCATTCCCACTGTGATTTTTTGAAAACTTTTTTCCCCCAAATGTTGTAGCATGGTCCTTTTCAGTGCATCTTTATATTTGTTAAAATGTTAGCACAAGATGCTTGATTTGCATCAGGGTATTCAAGTCTGATGAAAGCCAAACTACATGATGAAATAACTACTTGCCAGTAAACTTCCAGTTTAATAGCAGTTTCTCAGCTGTAGTTATTAGTCAGCTTTTGAGGTTTCCCCTAACAATATCCCTTGACCTCCCCATAGTTTTCAGCAATTTTGTTTTAACTGCTGTATAGGGAAGGGTCTTTTGGGTTGCTTGCTTAGCCATAGACTCCATTTCTACCAAAAGACCATGTTATTCCTCAAGTACCTTGTTCCTCTTGACTTACTTTTTGACCTTTATGGATGCTGATTATGCCAATACAACTGTTAGAGAATGAAATTTTTGTTTCAACAGTAGTTGAGTTCACCTTTCAGCGGCTCTATACAAGTTGAGTTCCCATGTTGGAAACCTGGTTTTCTGTTCCCAAGTGCAATTTAATGACGTGTCTTCAGCTGAGAATTACCATTTATAATGATAAATCAGAGACTACAGTTAAGGAGAAGGGTTTCATACAGTGCCAGAAACTCTCAATAACTCTTCTAAAAACTAAATTTAATTTGTTCCACGAATGTTTTGAAAAATTCACTTGTGTATGTGCATGTGTATTTAGTATATGACACTTTATTACTGTCATTACTGAAACGGTAAATTAGTGTTAGGCTATGCTGAATGATCAAAAGTAGAAGAAGTATATGTTCTCTTTGCTTTCAACAACTGATGTGTTAATTTCTTCCGACTTCCAAAATCCACTGTTAAATTTGGCATAAATTTTACTTTAAGATGGTGGGCTTCATTTTTTTCCCACATGTTCAGCTTTCATTGTACAAGATATGCCCCTGTCAAAAAGTAATAACGAGCTTTTGTCATGGTTACTTGCCCAACTGCTGAAAATTGTCTTTGGGCAATTACATGGCACAGAGAATGCTTGTTGCCAGTCCTCCCATCCTTTCCCTTCCACACCCCATTTATCTCATTGCCATACATTCCTTAGTGCCTAATTCTGTATCTTTTTGTATATACTACTTTAAGATATTTATGTACTTTTTCATATAGACGCTTTTGCGTAGGCACTTCTCTACATAGCTTTTTTTTTTTTTACAGTAAGTAAAAAAAGTTTAAAGAATAGTTTAGTAGATGTTTAAGAGAGTTTAAAAGATAAAATTGTGTGAGATTTGTATACATGAGTTAAATTAAAGTTGTTAACTGCTCTTTAGGAAAAAAAATATATATTTAGTACAACAAAATATTTATTTTAAACTTTAAACCTACTGCAACAAAAGTTGAATAACTGTGTAAAATGCCAATATTGGATAGCAATGCTAATAGATGGAAAATCAATCTATTTGGATAATACAATAATTATTAAATCATTGTGTTAAATAATTCTTAAAGGAACATTTCATATGCATATATATGAGTCTTTATATACTGACCAGTGATACTTTTACTAAAAATGCTGGGACTACCTAAAACCTAATTCAAATAAAAGCTTTCTTTTAAAAAATAATTCTTGGAATTATTCTTGCTGTGGAAAAGTTAATATGTCAAGGTTGTATGTTTAAAACCGCACAAAAGACAAAACAGCTCTCTAAGCAGTGATCTGAGCATTCACGGTGTATATTTTTCTGGTGGTGTAATAAAACCAGAGGTTTCTTAATCAGTTTCAGAAAATGCTTTCATTTAAAAAACTTTATTTTCATTTTCTCATTTCTCATTGTTAATGTTTCATATTTAATTTTTGAAACTTGTAATGAATTGAAATTATGAGAAAGCTTAAGTATGAAGGGCATTGGACATGCGGTTTTAGTATCACTGTAATTCTTTTACTTTTTGCAAGTTTGTTGGCAGTGCATTGTCCAGCCTATCCCACTTCACCTTGTTTCTTCCTTTTTTTTTTTTTTTTTTAATAGAAATTGAAATTGATGACTAGGGAGGACTGTTGCATGATGAGCCTCAGGTGAAAAATAGAAGTAATTTTCATAAACTTTGACTGCCTGTCCCTTTGAGACAAAGCATCGTATTGTATAATTTTGAAGAGTTAAAACCTGGCTACTTGGAAGCTCAATCTCACCATGTTTTCCAAAATGATACAAGTTAGAGCATTATGCAGACTAAGGATAGACTTGAGATCCTAGTTCAGTGTGTATTTTTTAAATTTTACTCTCCTATGTTCCATCAAATTTGTCTTTCTGTGCAGCAGACCAAAATAAAATACATACTATTGCATGGATTTGAGCCCTTCTAGCACTGTCAGTTGGAGATACCTCTAGCTGAATTTCTACCAGTTTCAAATGTCGCTGGGTTTTTGTTGTTTTTCTTCTGCTGTAGTAAGTTGGAAAATGCTTAGTGTTCTGTAGTGCAAGAACTTTTTAGAAAGCTCAGTTGTGGAAATTTTTTTTTGGGGGTGAGGGGGTAGTGATACAGAGTGGGGATGTGGAATTAAAGCATGACCTTGCCTCTAAGGCATAATATTTTTAACTAAGAGAGTATCTTGACTTTTATATTTAGATAAATCTAAATATATTGCATTTTTTATGTCCAAAAGTAGAGAAAAGGAAGTCTTTGCACTTGCTTTGCTCATATCTGAATGTGGCTGATTTTCAGCATTGATTAATTCATTAATATCTATATATCTTATGACACTGATCTTCTTTACCTCTTGCCTCTCTGATGCTTGCTCCACTAGCATGGTTTTTAAGCAAAGCAAATAATTTTTTTCTGACCTGCATTCAAAAGCAAGACTTCTTCCATCCAACTGGTTAGCTAGGTATTAGATATGTTCAAGAAAAAGGAACTCAAGGTGGAATTTTGCTGGAATTCTATGCAAGAATTCTGGACAGTATTCCAAATAATGTGTCTGGTGCTTTGTACACTGGTATTAATACTTCCCTGATTCTTCCTCTACCCCCATCTGTGATGGCAGCATCAGGTTCATTGGTTTTTCTTTTTCTGTGAGCAAGCTAGTAGTTCTTAATGGACATTTTTCTAGTTTGTCCTTAAATTGTGGATTTCATCAGATTTTGGGATGTCAGTCCTCTGGGTCATCAACTTTCTACAGTGTGATCCTTCCCAGTGTTAATAATGGCTTACTGTCTTGCTTTGATACTTTTCTACTTTTTCTATCCAGGTCCTTAGTGCAAACATTCTTAAAAAAACTTCACTTTAGCCTATCTTCTGTCAGCTATTCACCACCATTTTTTGTCTTTCAAAAAAATTCTGGTTAAACCACTAATTGGTCTTTTTTAGTGTACTTTAGAGTTCTTATGTGAGCCCTTTTGAGTCATGATTAATATTCTTACGTGGTTTTATATGAGTTGCTTCAGTTAAAGTGAAGGTTTTGCTGTGGTTTTTGTCTTATTTGGAAAATGAGTTATTACAGAGGGCTACTAAGTTAGTCTCACACAGTCCACCTTTCATGACACTAACGTTTATCTCTGCAGAATTTGTTCTGACCCCTTGAATTTTATTTAGACCAAATAAAGAGCTGGCTTACTTATAACTTCATGTTTATGATTGAAAGCATTTTTTAATAAATAACTAATAATATCAGTAAACTTTTCAAATACAGTCTGAATATGTCTTTCAGCTAATGGTAATGACAACAAGAAATTCAAAGGTGATGATAAAATGGATGGGGCTCCTTCTCGTGTTCTTCATATCAGGAAATTGCCTGGGGAAGTGACAGAAACAGAAGTTATTGCTTTAGGTTTACCCTTTGGTAAAGTAACCAACATCCTGATGCTGAAAGGGAAAAATCAGGTAATTCGTTGCTTTTAATATGTCTGATTTCAAAATGTATTGTTAAAATGTTGTTGAAATAAGTCATATAACAGTAAGGAGTAAAGAAAAAAAGAGCTTTTGTTCCTTTCAGTTTTTTAATGAACTTACACCACCTTTTAGTAAATTTTGGGGTGAATCGGGAAATGGTTGGCAGCTAACTAAAGCAGAAAGTTAGCTGTAAGATAAGGACTTATTCCTGTGTCTTCACAGATGAATTTTTGGAGATCAAGTAGCTTAGGAAATAACATTAGTATATAGAGAATAACATTTTCTGAAGACTGATATTTGTTAAAATGTGTTATCAAACCCAGTGTTTTTTTAATATGCTGCTAATATGAAGATTATCTGATTTGTAAATACTGAAAGTTAACTGTTTTCATTACAGGCATTTTTGGAACTTGCTACAGAAGAGGCAGCTATCACTATGGTTAATTACTACTCTGCTGTGACACCTCATCTTCGTAACCAACCTATTTATATCCAATATTCCAATCATAAAGAACTAAAGACTGATAACACACTTAACCAGGTACATCTACTGTTCAATAGTATTAGAAAAAAACACACACCGTAGAGGATGAGGCATGGCATGTGTTCTTGGCTCATGTGACATATGTTTAAATTGTTTGGTTTTGCTGACATTCTAACGCTACTGTAGTCTTTACTATGAGCATTCCATTTTGTGACACTTGGAGGGGTTCTGCTTTCTCTGTGATCTTTCCATTATGATGAATTTTCTTAATTTTCCCTTGAAGTAAAAATATTCTGAGGGGTGTTTTACCTTTAAATAACTTTAAAGTTATTGTCTTAGTTTAGAGACTGTAGGATAATAAAATTAACTTTTTAATTCTGACACCTGAGATTGCAATGCTGATTTGAATTTCCCCAGTGGTAATGGTTAATGCCAATGCCTACATTCCAGTGCTTTTAATGATCACTCCAGTAGCGCTGGTAACCTCAGTTCATGTGATCTGCTGTTCCTGGAGAAGAATACCATAATGATTGCTCTAGAGACATATGTACTTAATAACAAAAAACAGTTTACTCTTGCCTCTACAGGACCTACTTCACAATAAATATAGATACATATGTCTGTTTTTAGTAGAACATAAGAATTAGAAAAAGTAAGATAGTGACCATTTCGTACAAACTATAGAGGGATAAAAGGCACTCAACTTACCACAAATCAGATAGTTATTTTAAGATTAATTTTTTGTGTTGCCTTTTTGATGATACAAAAACAGTGTAAGTGCCAAGTTACAGTTTCTGTTAATTGTGTCTTCTCTTAGGACACATAAATAGTACAGTTATAGCTGTTGCCTTTGAAAACAATTTCAGGGTAATCTGTTGAAAAACCTTTTGTTTCACATCAAGTACAGTGTTGATTTTCCTGTTGATCTTTCTAAACATTCTTGTTCCTTAGAATCTTTTGATTATCTGCTAAAAGTGCTTTTTAAAAATCGAGACTCCCCAACCCAGCAATTGTCAGTTAAAAAGAAAAATAAATACTTTCATTTACTTTTGAAAAAGTGGAGTAGAGGATGAATTCTGTCTGCACATACAGTGGATGGACATATTCCCTAAGCAACGTTCTTACGTTGTCCTCTGGTTTCTCTCCTGACACTGGTTTCGTACTTCACATATTCACCTTTCCAACCTATAGGATGTGCTGACTGTTCAGCAGCTTTTATGCCACCATACATATTAATATCCAGTCTTAACATATATTCCAAGTCTTTGGGAACTTAAAACTAAGTTTAATTTAGAACTAAATGATATAAATACGTAATTGGCAGTAAGTATTCTAGTATCTCATGAGGCATTCTATAAAGTATAAGATGGTTGGATATTCTTTTTTCTGTAAGAAAAGATAAAGATGGTGCAGGTATTACTTGTGTAATCTGGTGTTCTTTTGGATACTCAAAACTTAAAATTTTTAATCTATATTTGAAGGCTTTCTCATCAGCTCAGATTCATTTTGAAGTTATCTTTTTCTGGATGTTCAAGCAGGAAGATGTGAAGAAGTCAGAATGTTAGTATGTGTAACTGGAAAGATAGGATAAAAAAACTGGAGGAAGGTGCAAGTATGTTATTTATAAAGAAGATATTAAAAAAACCTGTTTAACCAAGGAATACTTTAGACAGCCAAGCCTTGGCTGGAGAGGTTCCACTGAACTGAGCTTTTCTGAACTTCTCAGTAATAGTAGCTTTGGAGATTATTTTTACTTGTATGCTCAGAATGAGTTGGTTCTGAATAAACAGATTCAAAAGAGACCATTGAAGTTTTCATTTCAGTTTGTAATTCTATGAAAATCCTTTTCCTGTGAGACATCAAAACACCAAGAGGAGCATTTAAACTCAGATATAAAACAAATATCTCTTACTTTATTTTGTGCAGTTTCTAGACTCAGGAGAATTGAGAATAGAATGACCTCTGTAACTGTAGATCTCTTTAATCATCCTCCTGTCATAAATGCATGGGTTTAGTCCTTCTGCATAGACATTGCAACATTTAGAAATAAATGTTATACTTTCAGTGGTATATCTGATCTCTGAAAATTAATTTAAGTTTTGCAAAAATAAAAAAAAAAACTTTGCATGCTACTTGTATGTCTTCAAATCGGCTATTTATATATAATGTTATTTTTGTTGTTATTTTTAACTTGTTTGACAAAATACTCATCATTTACCACTGCTAAGTCCTCTATTCCTTCATGTATTCACATTAATTCTAGCGGAATGAAATGTAGTGTATAAGCATAGACAGTGCTGACAAGTTAGTCTTATGTTAAATTTGACTTCACAAGTTTTAGTTCCTTGGGTTATACAGTCTAAACTTTTCTAGTCATTTTAAGAGTGTGTTTTATCTCATATGTGCTTCTGTGCTTATAGGAAGAATAGGAAGTAATTATGCAACTCAGCCAAATATCTGGCCAGCTTGAAAGTTGTGTGTTTCATATGTTAGGGAAAAGAAGTGTTGTTATCAAAAGATGTTTTCACAGAGTTACAGTAATTAATGTTAAATGTAGAGGTAAAGTTTGTTTTCCCAACTGGTGTTCACTAGGTCTTCTTTTTTTCCTTCCCCCCCACTTTCCTTATTCATTGATTCGTTTCAGTATGAGGAGTATCATGTAAGTTGTGAGACATGAAAATGTGTAGTAGCTCTAATACCTTTAAAATATGGTGGTTATTATTTTTACCTGGCATGCTCACTTGTCTCTCTTGTTTTGTATTGTTTTGCTTCATAAGGCTACTGTAATGAAAGTATTAAATGGAACCCTTTTTTCTGCACTTTTTCTTTCTCAGAAAAAGACATCTAATCTTTCTGATACTGTCAGCTTTGGCAGTGGAAGTAGTTACATAGATGTGTGTTCATGTGATATCATCCTGTGGTTACCTTTGAATTTCTAAAATCCTGCTTGTGTTTAAAAACCAAAAAATCCCCACACATGGAGAGGATTTTGTTTTTCTTTTTACAAAAGAGAGTGGATAACAGACACCAGTTTGTTTACCTCTTGGATGCTACTTTCTGACATTTGTCAGTCTTGTTATTATTTCATTGTGTTAAAACTGAGAAGTTTGGAAGTTTAGTTTAGCATTTTTCTTTTCTCTCAGAGCCTTCTACATAATTAAAATGGCAGTAAAATGTTAACTGTGATACAGTCTTTTGAAAAATAAGATACTTCTGGTTTTTGTAGGGTTGGGTTTTTTTGTTTGTTGGTTTGTGGGTTTATTTAGTTTTATTTCCTTTAAAGGAAATAAAGAGTCTTGAAACCTACAAAATCCTCACTTCCTTTATCCTTACTAGTAGAACAATAAGCTTGCTACTAGAAAGACTGATATTGGTGCCATTTGAAGCCCCTCCTTACTGTGACATAAGGATTAATTGATGTTTTCATTTTTGTTGTCTCTTCTCACAGAGTCAGACTGCATTGCACTTACATTGTGTTATGTCTGTAGCTCTGAGTTTTAAATAAGTGGAGTATTTTATGTTTCTGGAGTTAACTATATTAATATTACTAATTAATTTCAAGCTATTATCTTGAAATATTAATCTCTCTTCTGTCTTTTTTTTTTTTTTTTTAAAGCGGGCCCAAGCTGTTCTTCAAGCAGTGACGGCTGTGCAGGCAACAAATGCTCCCATTAGTGGGACCACTGTTAGTGAGAGTGCAGTGACTCCGGCGCAAAGTCCAGTACTTAGAATAATTATTGACAATATGTACTATCCAGTAACCCTGGATGTTCTTCATCAGGTAAGTCAAATTTCATTTTAACTTAAGCTATGATTGAGAGGAACGCATGTGTAAAACTCTGTGATGTTTTCGGCAGATATTCTCTAAATTTGGTGCTGTATTGAAGATAATCACATTCACAAAGAATAACCAGTTTCAAGCTTTACTGCAGTTTGGTGATCCAGTAAACGCACAGCAAGCAAAACAAGTAAGTATAGTTGTCTTTTAAGTCTGGAGATAGTCCTGTACTCTAAGCACTGTAAAATGTTAATCTAACAGAATAACATGTCATACACCTCCACCAGTTGGGTCAATTTTTTGAGATTAAAAAATAATTGGGAGTTATTATATAATGTTGTTACACTGTGTGAAATCAGTTTTCACACAATAGTTTATTTACAGATACTGTGTCTAAAGTATTTTATACATCTGTATGAACAAATATTATAATAAGACTGCACAGAGATGAAATAACATGCAAGACTGCAATTGTGAAAATGTCAACCGAAAATAAAAATGTGGGATTTAACAGTGATGCATAATTAATTCACTCTAAGCAGCAAATATAGTAAGCCATTGGGTTGTTGTTAGATACCTTCTAAGCATCAAAACAAAGATGTGCTTTGTGGATTAGTTATAGGTTTGTGAAAGTATTTAGTTATAGTATCCTAAAAAAATAATCTAGACTCCGTTATAACCGTAAATACCCAGAAGAGTGAGTGCAGTTTTGCCTGTGACCAGACTGTGAAGAAGCTTTGCAGCAGTGACGGATGAGCAGGATCTTGCTTTTGTTTTATAGGAAATTCTCCTGTCCTGTAGCAGAGGTAAGAACAGGTAACTGGTTTTACTCATTATGGCAGGAGAGAGCCTATGGATAAATTATGACAAAAATCAACAGCATGTCATCTAGACCAGATGTTTTTAATTAATTGAATGGGATATGTTCACATTTGTGGCAATAGGAAAGTCAAACCAAAGGTGAAGGCTAGATTTTTATTATTATGATAACTTTCAAGAGATAAGTGGAATTAATTTATGTTTTCAAACCTTCACATGCAGTCTGGGTTTGAGGAAGGCTGATTAAAATTGATGTGCTGGTTAGGTTTTGCTTGGCAGCATAGAAAGTGCTTATTGCCCATAGATGACAGAATAGCTGAGAATTTCACAAAAGCGAAAAGCTCACACCTCAGGGTAAGTTAGCAATTAATATCTCTTAGTAGAGGAAAGACAAAAATGGACTTAATTTTCTGTTGTAAAGAATAAGGACTGTATTGAAATAAAGACTTCATTAAGTGGTGGAGGATGGTAATTTTTGTCCTTATCACCAAATGAAATACTGGGCATTAAGTAAAAAACTGTGAGCTGGTCAGGACAGGGAATCTCAAAAAATGAGACATTTTCAAAAAACAGAGTGTAAGTTTTCATGCTATTGAGGAAAACAGAAGAAGAGAGAAGAGATAAGATGGTTTGCAGCTTGATTATGGTGATCTATTTTAGCATAATCTACTCCTGAAAAGCAGTCTGGAAATACTTGTAGATCTGGAGCACAATTTAAATTAGGGATGTCCTTTTCAGAATTGAAGGAATATCAAATATTAGATTGTGCCTCAGAGTAGAAGGAGATGCAGATATGTCACTGTGCTACGTAAGAATTTGTATGGGTGGGATACACCTTGCAGGTTTTAAGTAGGTTTAGAATAGTAGTACAGAAGCTAGATGTAGTAGTACAGAACCTACAAATGCTGCAGAAATCAATTCTAGACATTGAGATTCATATTTGAAATATTCAATAAACAGTTGACTGCTAAATGTGTTTGTTGCAGAAGGTTGTAATTCAATTTTGGTTCATCTTTGGAAAGGTCATTTTCAGTCATAGATGTTATTGCTGCTTTTAAAGTGCATTTTTGATGCAAAATGTGACATCAAATGATAAGTCTTTTGACTTCATTTTTTGAGTCTTACATATATTATCAGAAGACTTAATGGAAACATGACATCTGTGGAATGGACTGTAGTGATTTGAAAATTATCAGTATAATTCTAGGAATATATTATTAAAAGATGACAAATAACTAAAGAGTGAGGTATGTAAAAGTATGAAAGGAGCCTAAGAATCTCTTGCTGTTGTTGACTTCTGGCAAACTGATACTAGCTCGTGGGATACTGTATTGGTCATAATTAAAAAAGAAAAAGCATGTATTTGTTTCTCCAGTTTTGCATGTTTTGATTAGGGTACCTGTTGACTAGTGGTAGCTCACGTGTGAATGACTAAACTTCATTGAATAAGTAACTTCTGCATGTACAGTCATTGTCAGAGTGACCTTAGAGCCTTAGTGACAAATTGAAACGGTCTTGCGTTTATAGTTTCATATTTTAACCAATCTGTACATAAATAGACAAAATGCTAAGAGTGATACCAACTGCAGTTATTGAAGGAAGCTAAATTTTAAGGAAGGTTTGATTTCCCCATTGCCCTCACCCTAGAGTAAAATAAATACAGTTCTTATGTTTGAGCTACTGTGATAAAATGTGAAGTGCCACCAGAACAAATGTACGTAAAGGAAAGAAGCAGTCAGACGATAGGACTTCAGTTTAAATATGTCTGGAAATATAGTAAAAGTAAAAGCAAGAGGATATGGCAGCTACACCTAAGTTGCATGGAATTCAAAATTAAAAGCATGGTATAAGAGTAAAAAAGTTTTCAATTTGTTTTCCATCCATTTTGACTATAGAAGGTAATGGGGAAATTTAATTTTCCACTGGCACTCTTCACAGGAAATCAGAATGTGGCCTTAATAGAAATTGAAGACTTATTAAGGAAGTTAAAGAGCAATTTGAAAAACTCAAGTGATGTAAGTACCAAGGAGAGATGCTATGCATTTGAAGGTTCTGAGAAGATAGTGACACTGACAAGAATGTACAGTACGAAACCTCTAGCCCTGTGGGGTGTCTTTTGCTATTTGAATGAGCAACTAGTGAAAAATTGCATTCCTGCTCCACTTGTTTTGTGAGAAGCTCATTTCCTGTAAAAGTAGATAGTGCCTACGCTGATACATGTTTCATCATCACCCTCAGATTGGATCATTATAGGTTCGTTATACTGGCAAGTGAGGGTGAAGACTGCAAACTTCAGGTGTAATGCAGCTGTAATGCAGCAGTTTAGCCAGGGGTGGAGAAGGAACTCATAACGTGCAACAGTAGAGCACATTGAACTGCTGTTTCTCCTAATGAAGAAGGTTTTGTCCTGGAGATGTCTGTATGTGTAAGGAGATATTGCAGCATAAAAAAATAGCTCATTTTCATTGTAAATGGTGAGTAGTCTCAGGATAAGCAGCAAACTTAAATATTTGAATATCAGTAGTTTGATACACCGTGGAAAGATTAGAGTGCTGGTGTTTGTCTGAATAGCTGGCTAATTCAGAGTGATGCCTTTGTGTAAGTGTACTGAAAGTATTCTTGCCAAATCATGGATATTAACAGTTATTAATGCCTCGTCTGTAGATGATTAACTGAAACTCATACATAGTGCATGATAGTCATCTTAACACAAGTTAAAAATATCACTAGTCTAATTGAGAGTTTCTGTTATAGTTAGCCAGTTGAACCTTACTTGGCCCATAGGTGATTGAGTACCTCTGCAGAGATTCCAGTGAGATTTGACTGTACATTCAAGATGTCATCTTTCCAGTTGTTTTGACTTACAGCTTCAGAGTAACTCTGCACTGATATGCAAAAGATCTCTGCTAGGCTACATTGCCCTAAAATCTATGCAGAATGGAAGAATGGACACCTCTAGATCAGGTACTTAACTTCAGCGCTATTATCCGCTATTATTGTATTAAGCATTTTTGGACATCTTTAATCCTGAGGAGCACAATTTGTGCTCAAAAATGATAAGTAGCATTCAGGTAAACAGAAGAGTACTGGAGTGCTGTATCAGAAAGCCCAGGAAGTGCAGCAACAGGTCCTTCAGTCAAAGAACTGCACATAATTTTTGAGAATGGAATGATTTTACATAGACTTTTTAGCCACAGAAACTTCTTGTATTCAAGACACTTCTCTCAAAAGAAATTAATTTCATTCAGATATGTATCTGTAGGATGCACTTGGGACACATTTCTCCCAAGAAATATTTACCGCATGACCTTCAGTTACTTGGAGATACTTATTTGAGCTGGAGTATATTTTGTAAGTATTGCTTCCTGGTTTTTTTATGCCTTAAGCTGTTATGTCCTTCTAAAGATCTTGTCTTTCGTTTTTTCTGCTTTGGGAAGAGAGAGAGTAGGGACTAAATTTTCCCTGTATTTCATGATTATGGAGAGAAGGCAGTAGTTTTGTTGTGTTGCTCTTCTCTGCCATGTTTTTTTTTTTTCCCACTCTAATTAGATTTTTCTTTATTGGACCTTGGTAAATGCTTTCCAGCTACCCTCATCCTGAAAGAGGTATATTTCTGGTCTTGAATGATACCTGCAGTGCTTGACAGCATGAGGGGCAGATACAATATTTGTTGTGGCTTGAAGTCTTGTGTTTCCAAAAATACCTTCTTAGTCTCTGGGCTCAGTTTCTGAACTGGGAAATGAGAATATTAAAATGTCAAATCATTTTCTGTTTTCCAGACTATGTTCTTGTCAGTCTTATAGGTACCATGTGTGAATTAGCTAAAGAGTATATCTTCCTGATTTTTAGAGGGCTGCTTTGACCACCTCCTGTGGGGGAGTTTCATTCCACAGATTGATGGTCTATAAGGCCTTAGGAGAAGCTCATCAAAGCATAGTTCCTATCAATATAGCACTTTTGAAGGGACTCTTCTTTCACAAGGATTTTCTGGCATCTTGAACCCTGAACACGTGAAGAGCAGCAGTGAATTTCATTGATTGCATCAGAAACCCCTTCATTTAGGTGAGGGAAGCCTGAGGAAAGTAGTGATTCTAGGAAGGTTCTTCAACTTTGAAGCCTACTGATAAATCTGAGTCTTACCTGCATAAAGCTGCATCACTCATTCAGGGTGTTACAACACTTGGTAATTTTGTAGAGTGCTTTTGCCCTCTGAGATCACCTTTGCTGCCATTACCACTTCTTTCAACATCCAGTCATGTTGTGAAATGAGAGATCCTAATGTCATGTGCCCAGGTTGGCTAGATAGAATTCATTACTGTCCTTTTGCAGAAAAGCTCTGTTTTGGTTGATTGTGTCATCAGCATCAGAAAATTCTGTAATATTAGTTATTGAACTCCTTTAACTTTTTTTCCCATTGGAACAGTCTCTTGTCTCACCTCTTAGTCTGCAGTTCTTTTCTCAGCAGTTTTCATCTCTTCATCCTTCTGATTGCTATGAGCAAAAAGAGAGGATGATTTGACATTATTTTCAAGAAATTGGGAGAGTATTGTGTTTTGTGGTGCAGACCTCCATTTAATTGACGTTTCCTGTACAATCTTTTTTACTGTCTGTGGCAGACAGTCATAGTACTCTATTGTGGATCCTTAAGACTTCCACAGGCTATTTCTGCTATTTTCTGTATTAGGCCTTGTTTGCCTATCCTTGCCTTCAGTAAAAAGTGCTGCCTTGAGACCTGAGCAGATTATAGATTCTCTGTGAGTATAACCCCGGTTGTTGAGACCCTTTCTGAATATTTTGAACGTTTCTATTATAGTAGTTGTCTAGGAATACTAGGAATATTCCACTATTTTGGAACTCTCACTAGTATTGGATAACGTGAGTTTCATTATTTCTGATTGGCTCATTTTTTTAATTTCTGTGGCTGATGTAGAGCCATGGGGCATATTTGGTTATTAGGAGTTGTCTTTGGTGTGGGGTTTTTATTGGTTTTTTGGGGGTTGTTTTTTTTTGGGGGGGGGGGGTTGGTTTGGGTTTTTGTATTGGTGGTTTTTTTCCCCTTCCCCAAAATACAGTATAAGTGGCCATAGAGAAACTTGTATGGATGACTCTGTTTGCACTATGGAGTTGACGTCATTGTGTCAGTTCAGGCCTGTGCCTTTCTCTTTGGATTATGTGTCAGTCTGATTGAGAAAGGGATTTTTGTTTGTTCTTAAATTGCTGTTTTCTATTTGTTTTCTGCATGTGCTTACTAGCCTTCTAGTTTGTGTGCTCCTAAATACTACAGCTCCTAAATGAATCTGTCCATTGTCTGCTGACAAGCTGTTGGCAATTCTTGATTGATTCTTGATGAGCAACTCATCAGAATCATTTTCCCCTTTGTGAAAGTCCAAGAGGAGGGTACTTTTTAATAAAAACAGAGAGGGAGGAATGGCAGGGGCCTAGCAATTATTTGGTATCATTACACTCCTAGTATTGTATGATTACGGAAGTTTTGATACTTCCGTTGTTCAGGCTTTGGTTTTGGGTTTGCTGGCACAGGCAAGATAAAGAATGACACTCAGATTTGTAGAAGGGTCCCATGATACTCGATCCTCCTTGATTTGGCATGTGTGTGGTGTGGCATGGTGTCCCATGTGAATGTATGTATAAATACTGAAAGAATTTTCTTAGCATAAATAGAGGTCTTTGAGATAATGTCTGTATGTACATTCACTAACAGTATGGCTGGCCTTCTCATGTTTTTCAGGATGTCTGCCTGAGAGGAACAGGGTTTGAGGGTTTGTTGCACATTGTTTTATTGTTATACAAGAAGGAGCTCAGGTTACACATTCATAGTTGCGAATTTACATGTGAACAGTTAATCTTGAAAAAAATGCTGGATGGTAGCAATGTTTTTAGAGGTTTGTGATGCTATTGGTAGAGGTGGGTGGGGTGAGGTATTTTTGGTTTGGATTTGGTGCTTGGAGCCTTTCCTGGAGTGTGAGTACAGTGCTCATTAAGAGTGCATCTCCTTCCTTTCTGGTTCAGGATGTTCTTTCAGGCTATATGTGTCTCAACTACAAGGCATTTCTCTTCTGCAGTACCTTTTGTATGTACTTAGGTCTCTTTGTATTTATCAGAAAGAGGAGTTTGTGCTGTTTCAGTAGAAGTTTTAGCTACTTATGGAACTCCTTTTAAACACTGACTACTCTGGAAACTACTAACACAGGGATATCTTGGTTTGCCACTTTTTAAGTCTAAAATATTTTCATCAATTTAATAGTCTTTTGCCAACTATAAGTCAGCAGACTCCACTCAGAGGTATAGGATGAATCTTGATTGTGTTTTAAAGACTTGCAGCTTTCTGTCACGGTCCTGTTATTTGGACAAAGCTAAAGGATACTCCCTTTCGGTCTCATATGTACCTGTTTTCTTCATTATGTGAAATGGGTATTTCCTCGATGGCAATGGCATTGTCTTTGACAGTATATAAACTCTGGCTGTGTAAACTGAACTAATCCATATCTTAGTGGATTTTAGAAGATAAGAAGTCTTCTAATAGTGATGACTGATTCTCAGTATATACTTTTTTAGGTGTAAGTGTTAAGGTGAGATTCTTTTCTGAAATACCAGCATTTGGAGGCTTGGATTCTGTATAAAGGAGCTAGCAAATTCTCTGTGCTGTAATGGTGGTACCCACCACCACCCCAACAATGTAGCTTGTATTCTATAAAAAGGACAGTAGATTTTCCTTTTCCAATACTGTATAAAGCATTTTTTAAGCTGAGTTTCAGACAATTAAATTTCAAGCAATTAAATTTCAATTAAAGGAGTTTCTCTTTAATTGCTAAGTATTTGTTGAAATGAAGTGTACATTGTCCAGTTTCTATACTTTTTTTCTGTATGATTTTATTTTCCCATAATTTGGAAGTTCTTATTATGTGGACTTACATATTTTTTCCATTGACTGCTAATGGAGGTAATTCTTTTAAGTGATTTCATGAGCCCTAGAGATGTCAGCTGTGATAATACATTTTGTAGGGACAGCCTTGCTGACCCAGACGTAGCAGAGGGTTGTCTTCAAGATGTTCAGTTTCCAGATGTATCACTGTATGAAAACAGCTATGTTGCTTCCATAGCCAGCAGGCACACTAGGTTTGTGCACTGCTTAGCTCAAAATAGTAAGTCTTACCATAACTTGAACATATTGGGAAAGTACATTGCAGGTGTAACCAAGCTTGGGTCCAGAAGGGATATATTTCAGTCCATCATTAATGTAGAGAAATAAAAGATCTGATTTTTGTATTTGAAAATGTGATTTATTTGGTTTTTTCACCATGTGTATATATATAAGGTTGTCTTATAGCTAACATAATGACTTGATTGAATGCTAGTTCTTAAGGTGAGTTGTATAGTTGTATCTTCATGTTCTAGCATTTTTTAAGAATTAAACTGACTTTGTTACAAAAGTTTCCATTTTTTTAAATCTCCCAATATTTAATGTTAGTGCTTCAACTGAAAGGAAGGTATGCCCAAAATGTAAATGGACTAAAATCCAAGTATATCAATTTGCATGATATACAGTGAAGATGGAGAAAACGTTTGTATTGGCTTTTTTAGAGACTGTTTTCATAGAGTTCTAAGTGGTGGTGTGTTCAGAGTTCATGTGAATTTCACTGTTCATAGGCATTTCAGAAGTACTCATCAATTGTGAAAATGGGATTTTTTTAAAAAAGTGTTAGTAACATCAGGTTAGCAGTTAAAGTTGCTTATCATTCCATTTTGGCACTAATTACCTTTAGTAGGAGAAGGAAAGCATGCAAGAACAGTGTATATATTCTGTTTTAACAGATAACTGTCTAACATGGTAGTTAAGTCTAGATTTTATTTTTTTTTCCTTAGGTCAACTTTCCATATTATTGAGTACTTATGAGATTCTTGATTTTTTTTTTTTTTTTTCCCCCCCCCCCCCCCCCCTTGAGAAATCTATTTGGCCTTTTGTCTGAATTTAAGCTGTACTGGTTAATTAGCTGTATTCAACAAACAAAATTTAAGTTCCACAGCATTAAAATGTTTGTTTTTGTGGTGCATAATCAGTTTCTAGGTAAAAGAGGTAAACATCGACCTTCCTGGAATCATTTTGAGAGGTTAATGCGTTTTAATCTTAATCGGTCTTAAACTAGACAGCAAGATGGATAAGCATCTATACACTCACCCTGTTTAAAAAAAAAAAAATGTTGTGCAACCAACCTGTATTGTGTGTCTTTGAAATAAATTGTGATCCTTTTTACAGGCCTTAGATGGTCAAAATATTTATAATGCTTGCTGTACCCTACGGATTGATTTTTCCAAACTGGTGAATTTGAATGTCAAGTACAACAACGACAAAAGCAGGGACTACACTCGTCCTGACCTTCCATCTGGTGATGGACAGCCAACACTGGACCCAGCTATTGCTGCAGCATTTGCAAAGGAGACCTCTCTTCTAGGTACGATGCTGACATTCATTGTTCTTCTGTATTGCAAAGCCACTTGATGAAAATGTTTACTAATCCTTCTAACAACTAAAGGTCTTAAATTGCAATAGTATCCAAAGGCCCACTCAGGGTTCAGTCTGTATTGCAGTCTGAATTATAGTAACAAATTATATTGTCTTAGAAGTACTGCAAAAATGAATGGGAGAATGCATGACAAAATGAGAAATGCAAAAAGTATTAGGAAAAGTCAAAGTAGTACAACTTTAGTCCCAAATCTGTCTGTCCTTCTTTCGTATGTTCCTGTCAGTTGCTACTGGCCACCTTGCTCACTCTCCCACCAACTTTGTTAGAGAGACTTAACATGATTTGTGTGATTCCTTCATGCAAATGTTTGTAATATCAGATTATGAAAATAAGATTTTGTTGGTTACCTTCAGTAAGGAAAGATTATGCTCTTTGGTTAAAAAACCCAAACACTATGGTGCTAAATCTGCAGATTTTGTGAATAAAAGGAAAAAATCTGTAGTTGCACTTCTAGTGCTATGGTACTTGAGTTCTAATATTCTGTAGGCCTTTGAGTTCATCATAACTTGGTGAAATGATCTGGGAAAAATACAGATGTATCTTATCTTCTGACTATTACCAAAATAATCAATGCATACTCCTACTTCTGTCAAATTGCTGTTTTTTGGTGAGAACACCTTTCACTTTTTAAAAATGTAATAGTACTCAGATAAAGAATCATTACTTCCATAAAAGCTGATTGAGTATGTTGTGATCATTGTTCTTCCCACTTAGTCTTTTTCTTTTTTTTTTCTTTTGTAATTTCCCGTTTTTATTCTGAAGAAAACATCAGAATAACATAGATTTCATAGTTTTTTGTACAGGCTGGGCCAAATTCAAGTAAGTCTGAGTTAATGTAGAAAAGAGGGGCCTCTGTTCTCGGTATGTTGCAAAAGGTAGAAGACGCTTAGTGAATGATGTAAGCCCAGGAAGAGGATGAATACTATAGTTAGGGCTACTGAATGCTGTGCTGTATTTTCCCCTTTTCTGAAATCAGATTACCTGAAGGATACTTTTCATATCTAGTTGTAAAGTACCTACAGACCCACTTCCTACAAATTTCAAAGTGCTTGAGTTCACATCTCCAGTATGACTTGCAAAATGTATCACTTGCAGCTACAGCAAAAGTTCTGGAAAGTAAAAAAATATCATAGGAATCCAAAGTCTCAGAAAAACATGTAGCTAAAGTTTATTTTCTTTTTTTTCTCTTTTAACTTCCCATAGTTTAAATATTAAAATCTCTCATTTCATGGTTCAGTAGGGAAAGCGGATGAGTGTTTGTGAGGAAGTTTGACACTATAGAGATGAGTGCTGTAGAAAAACCCTTGAGGCAGTTAGTAATTCTTTTGTCAGCGCATAATGACTAGAACGTAGGCATGGGGCTGCAGTATGAGTAGTAAGAGGACAAAAGCAAAATAAAGATGCTTATTAAATGAGACCTGTAATACTAGCTGTTGTAAGGCAGGGATTTAGGAGAGGAGAGAGTAAAGATTCGTGAGTTATAAAACAGTGCCAAATGCAGCACTACTTATGTAACTAATTCTGACATTTTCCTGAATCCCGAGAAGTTGCTTTCTAGCCTCAGGCTTACTTACATGTTTCTTTGTATATAATACTTACAGTATGCATCAAATTAACAGGTTTAATTTGCTTGGCATAGTGAAATCACACTCAGAGGATGCTCGGATCATTGCATTACTCTAGATATGTTTAACTGGGCTTCTTGTACTTTCTCCAGTTATCCAGGTGACTTTAGCAGATTTTATTTTTTAGTGGTTTAGGCCTGAAAGTCACCTAGATGCTTTTGTGATTGTCTGCAAAACTACACAAGTTCTCTAACATTTTGATTTTAATCACTCATTCTTTTGTGTATATTAAAGGTAGTTTCTAGTAAAATTATGAAGATGACAGTCATAATAACTAATTAAATATTTTATTTCTTACTCTCTGGATGCACCTCTTTAAACGTACTGTTTTTCCAAGCAGCAGGAAAATAAAAGGTACATGACATGAGTAACTTTCATTGCAGCTGTGAAACATTTTCAGAGCATCAGTGAAGTCAGTCATGTTTATTTTGATGGGTAGTGGAGATTATATATCATGGTTGACTTTTTCTTCTGTAAAAGCATTCATTGTTTTGAAAGAGACTTAAGGGAACTGGGTATATTTTCTAACTGCTTGTTGCCAGTTGGCTGAGCTTGGTGTATTAAATCTTCATCCTCTGTCAAATGGGGATAGCTATTAGAGGAATTTTTTTAGATGGCATTTTTTACTGGTTTTACGGAATTTGAGCTCTGCAGCTGAAAAACTTCACAAAAAGACTCCACAATACTGTTGGTGCCTTGGTAATTTAGGATAGTTGTTAGAATGGGAATGGCCTAGTTTGAATATGGAAGAACAGGGTTCTCATTCTGGGCTGCTAACTGTGTAAAAAGGCACAAAATTTAAGTGATGTAAATAAGAGGACAGAGGATAGAAAAACTCAAAACCTGAAAATATATGCTTGTGCGTAGAAATTATAGCTGCGTTTTTGTTCAGGTCTCGAAAGGAGAAGGGTGGGAAGACTTAAAGAGTCATAGAAGATGGAGGTTGGCGAACTATGATATGTGAAATGTGGCAGAAAGATAGCAGCAACCTTCCTCCTCATCTTTTTTTATCTTAATGTTGAATTTCTTTCTATAATGCTGATAAAGATGTCTTCAGTGTATACTCAGTGTCTGCCATGCCCTATTCATATGTGATTCCCGGAGGGCGTGTTCCCCCACGAGGGAGCCAGGCTCTGTTTTGAGTTTAATGTGATGCTCTTCAGGTTCTTTTGCATGCTCAAAATGAATACCATGAGTTGAACCTGTGGCATTCTTGTAAAAATGCTTGCTCTAGCTGCTCTATGTATATAATGAGATCACTAACAGTAAATGTGGTAAGGACTCACTTCTGCCTTTTGCTTGTAATAAGCTAATATATGCTGGAGACTTGTACAAAACTTGGGTGCCTTTTTGTTTTTGGCTTTTTAACAGTATACTGTAATTCACGTGTCAAAAGTGAGATTTAGGTTTAACATAATTTTGTGAGTTGAGTTTTAGTGACAGGATGTGAATCTTGTTACTCTTGATGTTTAAATGTGCATTAATACTAAACCATTACATATCTCAGTTTCCTTCTGGATAGAAGGAAACTTCCTCTTCAGTAAACGTAACTTTAGGATGTACTGTAGTAACACTTGCAGCTTTGTAAGCTGTTATGCAGAGATTTTAAAAGAACCTGTTATCTTCCTCAAAGCCACTCAGGCTAAGTATGAGAATCAGGTCAATATCTGTTACAAAAAGATGGTGGTTACTTGACATAGAGCCACAAAAAGGGTTCATAACAGGACCAGGGACTAAATCCAGTTCTCAGTCACAGTTGTGCTTACCTGCATTGATATGACTACCACTTCCTGTGGTTTTCACGTAAGTTCATACTATATCTTTAGTTTAGCTTTAATTTGCCTACTATTAAAATACCATTACTAATTTGCATTTCAGAAGTAATGCAAAAGGGTAAACTGAGGGAAGATAAATAATGTGACATGTATTTCAACTTCGTTGAGGAAAAAGGTATATAATATTTGTATGTTTTCATTAATATCTTGAAAAAACAAAAACCTGTAATCTATAGTTGTTGGAAGCTAAAATAAAGCTAGGGACAAAGATGTCTAATACTGGTTGAACATGTTAACAAAGTAGCTAACATTTCTAAGTAGTTTCAGATAAGTCCTCAAATCTTAAACAGTGTGTTACATTGTGACTAATAATCATAATAGAAGCTGTTCTTATTTATTAAAAATCTTCGACTTGCTTAAATCAGAATGGCAAATCAGAGTGCAGTGGAGTCTACAGAACAAGAATTGTTTGCTGTGACTTTGTAATTTGTCTGACCTTTCCGAGAAATGAGATCTATGTGTGCTATGTAATCAGTTAGAAACATATCAATCAAATAGATGATCCTAACCCACACGCATCATTACTCATTCATCTACTACATCCTTGGCTGTGATGAAATAAGGTGTCAGAAATCTTTGAGACTGTAAATTGGACATATTTTCAATGAGTCTTATTATCTTTTGAAAGAAGGAGAGAATTACTAGTGGACAAAATGAGCTGGTTGCAAGTGAATTATCAGAAGCGATGTTTTTTTCTTTTTCTGTTTTTGTACCTCACATATAAAAATGTATCTATAATCTCCCTCCTCATTCCCTCCAAAAAAGTTACAGATGTTATGTAAAAAAACCTTCGGATAAACAACAGCTGTATTATACTGAACCATGACAAAGAAAATATTTTATGTAAGAACTACTTATCACAAATACTGATAAGAAATAATACTTTACCCCCAGTTTATATATGTTTAATATTACAGCTGGAAATATGTTGTTGTGCTTAGGGTTCATCTTTATCCCTTGCTGTCATCTCTGGCTTTCCTTGTTAACACTTTCTGCTAGTGCCTCTTTTAAGATTCTTACTAATCATTTTGAAGGATAATAATTCAAAATATTTTTGTAGGAATAGTGTTAAATTAATCTTTGGTTTTAACTGAAAATTAAGAATTTGAATTCCATGAAGAATTTTGCCTTTTAAATTATGAATTACTCAACTATGCTGTGCCTAGCTAGGGAAAGAACCATTAAAACTTCACTAGTCGTCTCTAGATTCCTTTATTTCTAAAAATATTGGACTGGCTTAAAGCTTCCTAAGGCTAGGGAGAGGTGCCTAGACGTACTAGAAGATTTGATATGCTCTAGTAAGACATAGTAGCTTGACGTTTTCTAAAACTTATGTGACTGCTATTGACCTAGTGTAAAATCAGTTGTTTTCCTTCAGGTGGACATGTCGTGCCTTACTGTCCTGGAAACATATTTTGCTAAATTAGTGCCCCTTTACTGGACTGTATATGATGTGCAAATACAGTGTTGATCAAATATGATAAAGCTGTTCCTATATAACTATGTATAGTGCATGTTTATCACAAGAACCTTTCATGAATCCTGGGAGTGACACACTTTTCTGGTACTCCAGGGACTTGACCAGACAAAACCAACATGTGTCTACAGGGTCCGAGTTTCCTTGAAAGAATAAAAAATGAAAGCACAACAGAAGGTTTAGCTAATAATTATGTGCTTCTTCAGAGAATTGGATCACAAAAGCCATGGAGCATCTTGAATCTTGAATTTAGAAGGTTTCTTCCTCACCTTTGTGCTGAGGCTGTGAGAGATACATACACCTTTTTATGTGGCCACCTGCAGTGTTGCATATTTAGTCAAGCATCAAATGGAAGTGAGGAATGTCTCTCAAAGGGTGATGGAAAAGAAAGATGTCATGATGCAGAGAGCACAATTAGTGTTTATTCTCACTGATTTAATCAACGTTTACTTTAGACCACTTTGATAAACTAGACTCTTGAAGCGTTGTGGAGCGCAATGGAAACTGTTTTGGTACACAATAATGTTGATTTGAAAAGAAAGTATTTTTACACCTCATAACTTTGTGGACTTGATCTGAATTAAAAAACGCCACATTTCTCTTTATGTTAATTTAGCAACCCATTTTACAACCATTTGAATTACTTTAAGAGTGGAATCGTCTGCTGTGTAGAGTGTTGTATGCAACACTTGTGTTGATATAGGAACTTCTTTTTAAACGACTTGTGTGTGTTTCGTAAAATACGCTTTATTTTAAAATTAGGGCTTCCTGTTGCAGCTGTTCCAGGGGCTCTGAGTCCTTTGGCTATTCCAAATGCTGCTGCTGCAGCTGCAGCTGCTGCTGCTGGTCGTGTAGGAATGCCTGGAGTTGCAGCTGGTGGCAATACAGTCCTCCTGGTTAGCAATTTAAATGAAGAGGTCAGTAAAACAATTTTACTTTTCCACTCTTCAGTCACACTTCATTTGTCAGTATTTTATAATTTCTTTGCATTTGTCCTCTTACATTTGGATTTTAAGCTCGAAGTATTTTTTGTTCTTTTTTTTTAATAATCCCCAAAGTTACTTTTAAAGCCATTATTGTTAAATACATTTGTTTTCCTAGGTAGCTAACAACTTTAAATATCCTTTTATAGTCAGCTACCTGTTTTTTTTCCTAAGAAAAATGTGGTAACTCCACTGCATGTTTGACATTTGAATTGAAAGCTTTATTTTTACAAAATAGCAACTGTGATTTCTTTTGCAATTATAATCATGTAAACTAGAATTTCTGTTTTGTTTCTAATTGTTTGCTGTTTCATTTCATGCTTTTATCTCACATTTTGAGGTCTTAATTTATGTAAACTACTCTAACACATTTTTCTTTGAAGGTTCTCCCAAAGATCTTGACGAGGCACTCTTCCAGTCTCTCTTAGTAATTTTTTTTCTTTGCAGTTACTCATTTGTCTTTAAAAAAAAAAAAATGTGGTAGCAAAGCATTTTCACCTTAACTATATCTTTCTTGCTAACTCTGAAATCTAAAGGGATTAATTTAGTTTTGCATTTTTACTGTCCTTTACATTTATTTTGATGGCTGTGAAAGCTGGTATGAAATGTGGGAAGTTTGTATCAGTCTAGCTGTTCCATTTTTAACTGGCCTCTGTCACTGTAAATCATGAAGCTTTATTTATCATCTGATACTATTTTGTCATCCACAGTCTTGCATGTTAAAATGTTTTAGATCAGAGTGCCATTTTGAAAGATTTTTTGCCTGCATTTCATAACCAGCCATGCTTACGCAGTTAAAGTTTAAATTTTAAAATTTCTATTGCATGCTTTTTTTAATTTATTTTCATGTTGAGATGAAATGCTGTAGTTTACTCTTAATATGAATGTACTTTACCCATATTTGTCTTGGGTGACTACATTTTACTCAGTTTTTCTTGTACAGTACATAAACCAACCATTTTCTGACCAAATTCCTGCATTTCCTATGTACTGACCTATATTTTATTTTTTTTTTGTTCCCCACTTCCTTATTTTTTTTTCTTCTGCATTGCTGTATTCCCTCCCCCATTTCATCCTTTTCCCTTTGTGTTCAACTTCCCGTTCCTTGTCTTTACCCAAATCCCCGTGCCCTTCCCTGTCTTGCCCTTCTCCTCGTCTTTGTCTATGTTCCCTGTCTTCATTCCCTATGTTCATGCTTCTGTGCTTGAACAAAATGTTCCTCGGACCAACTTGCCCCAATTAACCGCCTTGAAACCATGATCCATGACCACCTCACCATTCTGCGGGAACCACCCTTCGTTATGGATGATCTGTTCATCTCCGCTCTTCCTCGACTCTTCTCTCTTCTTGTCTTACGCTGCTTGCTCTTCTCTCCTTCTAAAGATGGTTACGCCCCAAAGTCTGTTTACCCTCTTCGGTATGTTATTGTTAGCACTATACTTTTATTATTGATTTGATTTTGATTTTTATGGTTTTTGTTTGGTTGGTTTTTTATTTCACCTTAATTCTTATTTGTAGCTAGCACTTTGGCTTAAAGTTGAATAGTAAATCTTTTGCTATTTTTCTTTTGCTGTTTAAAACTCTCCATAGACAGTTTTTCTTTTAATGCATGCTAATATATTTTGCATGATCTTTAATTTAATATCATTCACATAGCTTTGAGGGTTTTTCAGAAATTATTCTTTTCAAAATTCACTATTCGAAATCTTTATCTCCTTTATTCATTTGTGAGTGTGTTGAGTTTGAGTGAGTGATCTTGTTGCTGTCTGAATGTTCCATTGATATGTCAAAATATATTACTTAGGTGACTGGCTTTAAAATGAACTTTTTCTTTTGGGTTACTTTTGACTTTGAAAAGGTGTTTATGGTGATGTGCAGCGCGTGAAGATTTTATACAATAAGAAAGATAGTGCTCTTATACAGATGGCTGATGGAAACCAGTCACAGCTGGGTAAGATTAGTTTTCTGTTTATTTTCTCTTTAGTCTAAGTATTTGGAAACCAGGCTGTTTAAGATCAGGTGAACTAAGTGTGTTTATTATTTATCAGTTTGTCTTTTATCCTGGTTACCCACCAGATCCAAAATCTTATTGCATGCACTTGTGTTCCAGAAGGTCTGCACGATATCCTAAATGAATTCAACAGCTGAATCACATTATTATCTTTAAATAAAATTGAATATTCTTGAAGCGTCTGCAGACCTAATTCTTGATTTCAGTCTTTTAGCATAATAGACCTTTTGATTTGCTTGGGTGTTTTTCTTGCTTGTGTGATGTACCACAAGCTATCGGAAGTAACACTCAATTGAGTAAACTTGTCTTTTTCAGCCATGAGCCATCTTAATGGACAAAAAATGTATGGAAAGATTATTCGGGTTACCCTTTCTAAACATCACACAGTACAACTACCTCGAGAGGGACTTGATGACCAAGGGCTGACTAAAGATTTTGGTAATTCACCTTTGCATCGCTTCAAGAAACCTGGTTCAAAGAACTTTCAAAATATATTCCCTCCTTCTGCAACACTTCATCTGTCCAATATTCCGTAAGTGTCCACTGTCAGTAAGCCAGTAATATTAATGTGCTTCACAACACACTGAATTGACTAATGATTCCCTGCTTATGCTTATTTTCTTTCTGTCTGTAGACCATCAGTAGCGGAAGAGGATCTACGCACATTGTTTGCTAACACCGGAGGCACTGTGAAAGCATTTAAATTTTTTCAGTAAGTAGCTTTTCTGCTACACATAGCTCTGACAGAAGAGTTTTTGCAGCACATCTTAAGAAAAAGCACATATCAGATAGCAAACATTAGAAGCAACCACTGTGGTGTTCAAGTTCCTAATTCCATTATTTTGTTTCAGAAGAGATCACAAGATGGCACTTCTTCAGATGTCAACAGTAGAAGAAGCTATTCAGGCTTTGATTGATCTTCACAATTACAATTTGGGAGAAAGTCACCATCTGAGAGTTTCTTTCTCTAAGTCAACTATTTAAAAAAGGCAGATTGAGAATGAAGGTGTATTGCATTGTTTGGTGTTGTCACCTATTGACTGTTCAGGAAAGTGGGGACCAGAGTTTGTCTTCTGTTTTTTTATTTTTTTTTTCATGCTGTTATCATTCCTTGATTGTTTTCAAAATTAAAAAATTAAAAAAAATAAAAAGCAGTGATATTAACTGCTGTAGTCAACTGTTCTTTAGATAAACCATTGTTTTGTTTAAAAGATTTCAAGATAATACCACATTTTTTCAACTTAGTTGACGTACGTGCCTTAAAAAGGAAAACTAGTACTGCTGGAATTGCATAACTAGTAAAAAGCAAATTTGGTTGTCTGGGGCACATTGTTACATGATAATTTAAATATGTTTAGGCAGGGGTGTGTAAAAAGGTTAAGTTTTTGTTTCTCCTGCTTGATTTCTTTATATGCTGGCTTGTCACTTATTTTTCTTTTTAATTGGATTAGATGCATTATGCTGACAGAGTAAAATTACATTATTTGATTTTTTGCTACTTTTTGCTTTGTGTTTTTTTTTAAAAGGCCTTTTGTATTACATTGTTCTGGTCTAGATTCAGTTATGAATGTAGGCATTAGTTAAAATTAACAAGGTACAGAATATTAATTTCTCAAAGGACAAAAAGTGACTTCTGTGACTTTGAGCCCTACGTGAAAAGCATTGTGGAATCTTAACCTTTTTGTACACACTCTTGTGGGATGTATCATATAAATGTCAGCACTAAGTAATGTCTTGTTTGTGGCTGAATATTTTTCGTAGATGTTTTTGAAGTTGACATGACTTATGTGCATTTCAATATATATTGCCATCTTTAGTTTGTAATTAAGATATGGAATATGGTTGTGGATTTCTGAGCATGTACAGACTGGTCAAGCTAGTTCAGGAAATGGTGCATGTATTTTTCAATGATGAAGAAAGTTTGCTGCAAATGCTTGCAGGAAATTTTGTGGCAGTTTCCTAAAACTGACAACCAGGTGGGACCAAAGTTTATGTGCCTTTAGTCTTAATTTACCTTGCATTGTAATATTCAGTTTTAATAAATCTCTTCAAAATATTTTGTATTTAGAAATTGATCTGACTTTACTATAAACATGACTCAGAATCTGCAGATCCACTTAATTTGAAAGCAGTTCTCTGTCAGTCTGAACTGTTACCTTGATTCTGTTTAAATGACCAATACTTTTTGAAATTGATGTACTTAGTTTCAAGATTCATAGATTCTGTTACCTATGTAGAGGAAAAAAAGGTCATGTATATTTTCTATTAGTTGAGTTTTTACATCTTTAGAATTGTAAAATTCAGTATAGTTTGGAAGTGGCACAATTAAAAATTAATTTTCTAACAAAGTTGGGAGGTTTGATGGTTGTTTAATTTCATTTTGTGTGTACTCTGCTTACCTCTGTAGCATGCTCAATAAACACTTCTGTAGCTCTGTATTCACCTTTTCTGTCTTTCTCTGCTGCTTTCTCTCTCTCCTCTTCTTTGTTTTTCACTTCTACTGTGCTTCTAAATTCATGTTTATTCTCTGCCAGGGTGGGAAAAGCATAATATTAAAAACTACTCTTTATGGCTTTTTACCATAAATCTGATGCTGTGACAAATATCAGCTCTTTATTTTCAGAAAGATAGTGACCCCTTTGCAGGTATATGTGCATATTAAACATTTCCCACCCTGTTATAACCTACTGCTTTAAAGACATAACTTTTATTGTAGTTCGTTAGCTCTCTCTTTCTATCTTTTTAGTTTTTAAGCAAATTTATGCACTAATAGATCTCTCAGGTTTGCCATGCTCTCTTGCTGCAAGTTTCATCTTTCATTTTTTTTGTGTCTGCTAAAGATTTTCTACTAATCATATGGTATATTCATGGGTGAAAGTAACAAAATTTAACATGAGATTAGTGGACCATACATATTTGAGACCAGGATATTTCACCTTTTCAGAGCCATGGGTTCAAATTAATGTGAAAACAGTTTGGACACTTCAGTAGCGTTTCTTTATATTACTTTGAACTGATTGTTGTGGGTTTTTTTCTCTTCGATTAGAAATAGGATTTTACACAGTCTCCATTAAAGAGTAGCTGTATGATCCTGGAGCATTTGGTAAAAGCTGTCAATGTTCAAATCAAAGCATTTTTCTTTCACTTCTCCAGTACAACCACTGTAGATATACTGATGTTGGAATACCTTGTGAACTGATGTCTGTTCTCTGGGTTGACTTTCAAATCAGTAAATAGCTATCGGCTTTTTAAAGGTCATGGTATAACGTAGGGCTTGCAGTAGTCTTAATATGTTAAATAAAATGCACTGGATTCTTCCTGTTTTATCAGAATTACACCCAATATATGAGTTAAGTTCTACTCCAGGTATTGCAGTGATCACCCAGTCTGAAACGCTGTTAGAATCAGATTCATCCATACACAAAGACTGTGAATCAGCATCCTTTTACAACTCAAGCACTCAAGTCCATAGATGTGACTAGATCCCAATCGATTTAAGCAGTACTTAAGGGTCTGACTGAGCTGATCTTGTAGATTTTTTGTCTATGCAATATGACAGCCCATAGTTTTTTAAAGTGTGTGAGATTTCCTTTTGTGGCTCAGAATGTGCTTGTGTGCTTCAAATAGAAGTGTGAATTGAAATTTGCCATTCCATGGGTTCAGCTTGTGCTGAGCCATTTCCACTCTAAAACATCTGTGTCAGCATACAGTGATTGCCATATGTATCATTTTGAAATAACTGTAAACATCTGCAGTGAGTGTGTACAGATACAGAGGTTTTGTAAAACTGTAACTTACTAATTTCTTGCCAAGCTTATTTCCTTAAAAAGAAGTTTCTGTACTTTTCTTGTGAAAATTTCTGTGGCAAAAGCCTCAAGGGAAAGAATATATATTGGCTTTGACTTGTTATAAATTCAGCAGCTTTTATTATGAGTTATATTTGTATCAGCCAAAATTAAAAGTACTGATAGTCATAATTGTCATGAAAGCATTTTTTTATGAACCTGAAGAAAATTACTGTTCAGTTATTGATACTTAGTCTTTTCTCTTCAGAAAATACAGGCTTAATAATCTCCTTACTGCTAGAACTTTCAAAAACTTGTTTTTAATGAGATGGTACTGCATTTTGTATAGTAATTTGTACATTTTTGTTGTTATAAAATGTAAATAAGTTTCTGTATTTTTAGCTCGTCAGAATGTGAAAATGGAAAGCATCATTTTTATTAAAATTTTACTAAAAATAAGGTTCATGAATAACTTCTTACACTCAATGGAATGTGAGTTTTCAGATTATGTTAGTAGAACTTTACTGTAGACATGGTGATTTTCCTCAGTTTCAGATTTTTAAAATAATTTGGGTAGTTGACAGAAGATAGTTGCTGATTTTTTTTTTCTTTGTGCGCTGTTTAATGGAGCAATGAAATTGGTTGGAGAAGTCCAAAAATGGTACTTTGATCAGGTAATGTCCACTGACAAATACAGCACGTAAATGAAGTAAAACCAAAACCTGATAGCATTCTGATTAAAAATTGTGGCAAAACTTAGAAGTTAAATGAATTCACTTAGAAGTATTTCTGTATATTGTGATTTAACATGTTATATGAAAGGCACCTTCTCCCCTGCAGAAATAACAGCTCATATGATTATTTGTAGATTGCCATTTTTAAGGTTTTACGTTAATATTCAACTTTATAAGCCATTTTACAAAAACAATTCCTTTGATTCATTATAAGTTTCCTTATGTTTTATAGTATGTTACAGCGTGGCAGGAATAATCAGATAGCTGTTTGCAGGATTTAAGGCACTGCAATTTCAAACTTTAGCCTACTTCAGATAATTTGTCCAATTCTCTGCTTTGTGAATATGTACTTCTGTTGAAACATTAGAAAAAAAATTATGTTTTTCTCTACAAACCAGCATATAAATTCACTAGTGCATCTCAAGAAATGGTTGTCCTGGTATTAAATGATTTACAGTAAGCAAGGCTTCTGCAGAAGGTTTGTGTAAGGTGGGGACGAGGCTGAAGTCCTTATTCTGTTCCAGACGCTGAGGCAACGTGAACTTAAGAGTTTTGCTTAGGTGAACAACAAATTTTCTGTTAAATAATTAGGTAGAATGTCCCATCTCTTTTATTTCTGGTGTATGTAAAAAGGCTAATATGTATGGCAACATCTGCAATATTTCTTACCTTCCTGGTTTCTCGGGGAGCTGAGCCTGCTAGTGTGGTTCTTGTCCACAGAGAGGATAAGGAGAAAGAACGATTTTTCCGAAATGATGGGATTTGGCATGCTGTTTTCTACTTAATGGGCCTTGGTAAAGTTAATCAGTAGACTGCAGTAGTCTAAATGTAGAGAATGATAATCCATTATGAATTATTCTGTTAGTCCACCATTGGCTTGCTAGAACCAGTGTCTTGCTGAGGAATTATATTCTACAGTAGTGAGGCTTTAGAGAATTTCTTTAACTTGTTTTTTTCCTTTAATGTAAGAATTTATTTAGAATACTCTGAGTATTTTGAGCTTTGAAATTCTCTCCGGTGCATCTGTGCATATGTGTGCATGTGTTTGGTCTCTTCTGGATGGTTAACGAAATGAGATTGGTGTGTTTCTGCTTCACCTTAAAATTTTTACAACTGGCTGTACCTTTGTTACTTTCCGAATTTACTGAATTTTCCTACGATCAAGAAACTAAATTTGGAAAAGAATTATGTTGCTTCGTTTTTTCCTTTTCAAACTTTACAGCATGTAATGTTTAAAATCTATATTTTTCTTCATTAGTTCTGCATGCAGGCAGCAAAGGAAAAGCAAAGAACTTTTCTTCCTTGGGAAAATGTGAATTAAATGCAGATTGACTTAAATGTCTCAAAAAAATTAGCTCAAAATAGCACTCCTATTATTGAAGAGTTCTGCATGTTTTATGAGTTTTATCCCAGTTTCATAAGGAAATGAGGCATGTGTAATTGCACTGTCTCTGTGTGAATGTACTGTTCCCGAGATAACCCGTGTCTCCTCCTTGTCACTCCTGCTGCCTTTGGCTGGTTTTCTGTCAGAGGGGATGAAGGTCTCCCTTACTAAGGTGTTACTGTTTCTGTCCTTATGATTAGTTGTCTTGCTAGGTCAAAGTCCTGACTTTCAGTGCTATGGGCAAGGGAAGGAAAAAATCCGCTGCCTTGTCTTTTGCCAGGAATTATCAAGCAGGCATGGACATAGTTCTTTCCCTCTCTAACAAGCGGCAGCTTGTGAGGTAGCAAACATGGCAGGGCCTGAGAATACTGGGTACAGGACATGGGAAATTGAAGGGAAGGGATGTTCTGCAGCAGGATCAGTAGTGGACAGAGGAGCACTGGGAAATTTCAAGAGCTTTCTTTCAGTTGTTTTCACGCATAAATAGACATTAAAATGTTGACAAGGTGAGAGGTATTGGTTGAATTATTTTGTAGGATTATTTTACAAGCAAGTCTGGTCAAAATTGGTCCAGGTTGTGCGGTAAATGTATGTATTTTCAGTTCAACAGGTACAGAGGTGTCAAAACTTAGCAATTGCATGCAGATTACTGTGGAAGCTGGTTTTCCTGGGGATGAGTACTGATCATTCCTGGAAGCCAGGGAGACTGAAAGCCTGAAGCCTCTAGCCCTAGGATAGGCTACATGTCAGGGTAGTTTAGGATGATTGACACTGATGGCTTGCCAAAGAGCTAGATAAAGTGAGCTAGTGGGATCTAGAAAGAGATTTGTTAGAAGAGTCATCAAGTGACACCGGCGTTTTTTGATAAAAAATGTATACTGTAAAATTTCTAACCATCTGTATTCCATGGAAGGGTACACCAGTATCCTTTGGGCTAACCCTATCCCCTCTGGTTCCTTAATGCCTTGGGCTTACGTCTGACAGCATCAACACCCTTTGAAGATTTCAGCTGAAATAATGCTAGACTAGTCTGTTCTTTTCTGAAGCAAGGAAGGTTTCTTGGCAGCTCTGTCTGACAAACACCAGTGATTTGCAGTGTATGGTGGGGCACCGGCCTTGCTGCTGCTTTAAAACATTGACAGTTCTCAGCTAGTAAATAGTCATGGTGCTGTGTCAACAAAGTACACTTTTCAGTGTGCTGTGCTTTGATGCCTAAACGTTAAATTACCTTGAATTCAATATTCAATTCAAAGGTTAAGTAAATTTTTTGTGAACAAGGGTTGTCTTTCAAGGTGTGGGGCATTTTTCTTTCTTTTTTCCTCTCTTTTTAGAGATAGATTTTCCTGATGATGTTTGTAGAAAATAAACTAGAGGTCACCTTAATTTTCCAGTTCTTAAGCAAATTCTGGTAAACCTTAACCATTTTGATCAGAAGTGCGTCTGACTTGTTTAAGCTGATGACAGAAGCTGCATGACTTCTTTAGTCAGTCTGTATCACTGCATTGCCATGCTTACTAATAGAACTTAGAAGAAAAAAAG